TGGTTTAAATGTTTACCCAGTTAAGACCCCAAGAATAATGGACTCAGTAATAGCCTGTAATATTAATTAGCTTCATCTTGAAAGAAAAAAACAAACAGTAAAGCAAATAATGACTCTTATTTTGGTGGGAGGAGGGATGTGGTGGGGGGGTAATTAGTGTCATAAAGCCTTACTACAAAGAAGTTTAGAATTTCTATGTCTCTCTGTATAGCAGAGTGTAACAGTGGCAGAATAATTGTGCCATTATCACGATAATCTAATTTGCTTCTATAGAAAAAGCTACTGCCTGCAGTTATGACAGTAAGGAAGATTCCAGAAAATAGCTCCTGTAACTTATATAAAAGTATGAGGGAAAAAAGAACAGCAATAAAGTTCATTTCAAAAAAAAAAAAAAGAGTGTCACAGAGAGGTGGAGAATGAATCAAATAATCCTTGGCTACCGGATGTGATGTTTTTAAATAACTTGCCAACTTTTCAAGTCAGTGTGACATTTTTTTTTAATTCAAATAAGGCCTTGCTTTTTAATACTCCAGTTCCAACAACACAGCATATTGATTGATTCACTAATTAATGTTTTTTTAAAAAAAAAACCCATGAAAAGAAAATATTGCTTTAGAGCCTTTTCTGGTAAGGTTTTGAAATTAAGTGCCACGATCTATGTAAATCTTCAAAAATTCTCCTGATATTGAGTATAATAGAAGGGTGGATTTCATGCCAGGGTGGCATCCTTTGTGTGACTCACATGGCCTGAGGCTCCTTGACTCTCCCCCCCACCCCCCCCAAAAGAGTTGGAGTGGAGATACTATTACTCAGGGCTGCAATAATTATCACGGTTTTAAGGGGTTGCAAAGTCTCTAGAGAGCTCAAGGAAGGCTGCAAAGCAGAACAGGCTTAAAAAAGAAGGCTCTAGGATTGACGTCGTCGTGATGACCAAGGAGGCCTATTATTATTTTTTTCTCTGTCCACGTTACTGCTCTGTTTTTTTCCCCTGATCCTATTACAAGATGCAGGGAAGCCCCATAAGAATTGTGCATAGTTCCTTACAGATGGTGGTCTCTCTGCCCAGAGACCCAGGGAGTATCTGTTACAGCGATACTTTGTAACAGCTGCAGATGTTCTAGGCTAAAACTGCTCCATGTGTTCAAACAAATAATGACCATCATTTTCTCCCAATTTTATTATTTGAGCGGAAATACAATCTGAAACGTTTAAATGTCTTCCTCATAAAGCTGGAAGGATGCTTATGTGTGTTTATAATTCCCCCTTTAGATTATCCTTAACCCCACATTTTGGTTTTACCTAAGCAACCAATAATGAAAAAAGCTGCAGTTCTGACTTCATATGATATGGCACTCTCTGAAGGTTAGACTTTGCAAACATCAATAATAAGATGTGTACTTTGTTTTAAGATCGAGTTTTCGTGGGTTCGGGTTCTTTGCTTTGGTTAAGTAAAGCAACAAAGGGTGGCCAAATACATTCTACATCCTCTGTTTCACACTCGGTTAAAGATCAACCTGCTAACAGACACTGTAAATTTTTGCACTTAACAGATGCTAATTTTCTTTATAGTTCGAACATCTATAAACCTAATTGGTATATCCGTTTGGCAAATCCAAGACCCTCAACGAAACCCAACTCCAGAGAGCAAAATACTCGTTGTAACTTTTAAGGCTTCAGAGATAAAACGTTTTCTGTGGGATTTTTTTTTTTAAGGCTTATAAAAGTAGGCCCATTAGGATTAAACCACATTAAAGACAGCACGAGGCGAGGGGGTGTGTGGTTAATAGGAACTCTGGGAGCAAGCCCAGCGCAGCTTTCTTCTTCAGTGAACATATGTTGGCTTAGGGGTGAAAGGAGCTATGGGATCAAAATCCATTTTAGAAAATAAGACATCCAACAAAGATATCCTTCCCTTTCTCACCTCACACCCAACACCTGCAGCAGCAGCCTACGTGTGTCCTCTAAGATTCCTGCAAACCTAGCTCTAGCACTTGGGTCCCAGCCTCTACCTCCTCGCAGTGGGGTACCTGTACTCGGGCCTCAGATAGCCCCAGTCGTTGGCTCAGTTCCTCGCGCATGAAAGCGTCTGGATAGTGGGTCTCATCGAAGAGCCTCTCCAGCTCGTTGAGTTGTTCCAGGGTAAAATTGGTTCGACTTCGCCTCTGCTTGATTTTGGTCTGGCCTTCGTCCTCCATCCCTTTTGCATCCTCTTTGCGATCCTTCAATTCGGGGGACACTGGAGAGGGCACGAGGGAAGGACCACACGTGCGTCGGAGCACGCGCCAACACACACACACACACACACACACACACACACACACACACACACACACCACAGACAAAAACAGCAAGACAAGTCTGTTACCAGATTTGTCCAAAGGGAGGCTAGAGACTCCTAACTCCTAGGGGGAGGGATCCCCATGAAGTACAGGCGAGAGGATAGGGGTCCCGGAGACAGACCCGCAAAATCACGTCTGTAGGTCTGCCTGGGGACAAGGTGGGCATGCAGCCACCCAACTGAACTGTGGTCTCAGCTCACTCTCTCACTACCTGTGCCGGTCCCTTTTTTCTGCCAACACTAAATGCATTCCTGACACTCTGGCACTCACTTCCCCGCGCACTCACGGAAATCAAAAGCGCCTCGCTGGCTTCTCGCAGAGAGCGGTCTTGGTTAAAGGGCGCGGCAAGGCCATGCGATGGCCTCACAAGCCCGCCATCCCCAGAGGGCTGTTCCGCTGTCCCGCCAGCCTCCGCTGCTTCTGGCCCATTGCCTCTCGCAAACTTGCTGGTCTAATTTAGGAACAACTGGGCCCGCTGAAAGGTCGCAGAGGCAAAAGGAGGCTCTGGTACTGCAAGGTGCAGAAAGCCAAGTCCCTTGGATTCCTTGGAGCCCTAGAGCTCGGACCAGACCACTACGGATGGTTCGATGGGAAGCTAGGCATGCCCTGTACTCCCTGCCAAACCCGGGTCAAATTGGCACAGGCAACCACGCCATGTTGGAGGCCTGGAGGACTGGCTGCCCATGCTGGGCCAGAAAGGTAGAGGCGCAAACAAGTCAGACTGCTGCTTCTGTCTTCTTCTCCCTCCCAGTTGGAAACCAAGGCTGGACCCTAAAGGCTTAAACCCACTGAGATCAACAGGTTCAAGAAGAACATTCCTCGGTTTCTATTGGCTGTTAAAACCTTTTCATGCATCCAGCAGCTGGGATGTTTAATAAAATATGCAGTTTTTTTTTGCACACATCCGTTGCTACTTTGTGGTCCTTTCCTTCCACGTAAAAGACAGGAGCTCTGCCAGTTCGAGCAAACAGAGCCATAGGAGAGGTGATATACTTTTATGCCAATGGGCAGCCATGAGGAATGCTAACATCAGGCCCATATCAATATAAGGTCCACCTAACCTTCATCCTCTGTGCCTGATTTGGAGACGGGTGTCCAATGTCAAAGCTAAGTTTAGATGGTAGAAGCTGTTTACGATTCCTACCAACCCATGATCCAGATCAACATGGAAAAAGAAAAAAAGAAAAAACAAAACAAAACAAAACAAACAAACAAAAAAAAAAAAAACAAAAAAACTATGTCTGGAACGAGCTAAGCTACAAAGAAATTAAAGCTTGGAAGTCAAGAACCCCAGGAATCCGCTCACCCAGCTTCAGACCTTGCGGTTGGTGGGCATCTAATCCAAGTCCCTGAGCTGTGAACCCTGAGGGGTTACTCTCGGCCCTTTTATAGTTATCCTGTCACTTTCTAAATTAAGGAGGACATGGTTCCAGATCTGGGAGAAGACAAACAGCCACATCTCGCCCCAGCCCGGCATTCTATACTGTAATCTTATTTGTTGCCTGTATTTTTGCTACTCAATTTGTGAGCGTTTGTCCTTCCCCCAGGAAGGAAGTAGATAAGGTCACAGCAAACATTAGGGGGTCAATTCAATAGGAAAATACTCTTGCTAACATCGTAGTAAAATTTAAACAGGAACACATATTCTTCAGATAGGAAGAAGAGGGCTTTTGTTGTCACCCACAGAGTAGATTCCCCTCAAAGTTTAGGGGCTTCAAAGGGAAACAAGTCCAAATTTCAAGTTGATTAATAGACTTAATATAATGTCTCTTTCGCCCCCGACTTTCCACTTAATGGCCTAAACAGGAACAGACCGTGTTATAAACAAGTTAATTGCTTGCTTAAATTTGTGATTCTACGCATGCCACATATTTTCTTAATTGGAAAAATATGGCAGCACACCAGTTACCGCAGTACCCAGTGCTAAATTAATTTTTAACTTCGAGTTGATGGACGCTTTCCCGTTTAGATAAAGCTGTTCTCTAACACTGCTGGCTCCAAAAGACACCCTCACTAACACACACACACACACACACACACACACACACACACACACACACAAAGTACTGCAAGATTCTAGGCAGTAAAGAAATTGTGTACATAGCGCACCCCCACCCCCACCCCACGTACACCCTACAGACTCCTCGATGCCTCCACCGAGAGGAAATCAGCTTGGCCTGGACCTTTGACTGCCTTCCACCTTAACAGCTCAACGAAAATGTGAAGTTTGGTCCCTGAGATCTAGAGATTTAGGGGCTTTGCTGAGTTAACAGTGGTTTTGGTGGCAGCTCTAACGAAGGGGCAACCTCGAGTGGTCCTTCTCTTTCTCTTTTTCCCCTTCTCTACTCTAGGCCCAGGAAAGAGATTCCAGCAAACCCAGGAAGGACTACACGCTAGTCACAACTGGCCTCCTGGTGAGCTCCTGCCGCACCCCCTTTCGAAGCGGGCCACGCAAACTTCCTTGTCCCGCAGCGCGGCCCCATCCTCTCGCTCGAGGGAAAAAAAAACGCATTTCGGGGCAACGGGAGCAGCTGAGAAGGATGCGCGCAAACCCACGTCCTCCCCCACGCGAGGACCCCACCCACGGCTGAGCAGTCTGGCCTCCTACCCCTCCACTACTCCTGTAGCTTCCAAAGCTGTGGTCCAGGGCCCTCTGCGCTTTCGCCCTCCTCCCAGATGGGCCCCGGGTCCGCTCTCGCCCCGCAGGACAGGGAAAGGCGGGAAGGGGAACCGCGGCCGGGGGCAGGCCGTTACCCTCAGTCAGTCGCGGGCTGCCCGGCTCCCTGCTCCGCTCCGCGGCGCCCATGTCCAGCTCCCGGACGGGAGAGCGCCCTCCTCCAGCTCCTCCGCCTGCTCCTCCTCCTCCAGCACCTCCTCCACCTCCTCCGCCTCCGCCTCCGCCTCCTCCCGCGCCGCCGCCTCCGCCGGCCGCCCGGACTGCCGGGCTGCTGCGGTCGTCGCGGCCCGGCTCGAGGCAGCCCGGCTCCTTGGCCCCACGCAGCGGCCCGCTCTCTAGCACCTCCCGGTACGTGATGGCCTCCTTCTTCTCCTTCACTTTCTGGTCAAAAGACTTGGAGACGAATGCTGTAAGTTCTTCCATTGCGGCCGCTGCCGGTCAGCCTCGCGCTCAAGCTCTCCCTGCCGAGCCCCGCTCTTTTTTTCCTCCTTCTTTTTTTACTGCTCCAGCCCCCCCAATAATAACACATCAATGGGGCAGGGGGTGGGGGAGGAGAGGGAGGAGGAAGAAGAAGAAAAAGAGGAGAAGAAAGAAGAGGAGAAGTAGAAGGAGAAAAAGAAGTAAGAAGAGGAGGAGGAGGGGACAGGGGGGGCAGGGGGGAGGAGGGAAGGGGCGGGGGCCGCCAGAGGGAAATGGGAACTGATGCTTCCCTGCCGGAGCGCGCGTGTTCAATGTTAAGATCTTTGACAATTCTTCCTGCGGAGAGTTCAGATCTGATAGCGACGCAGCTCTTGAAGTCTCACTATTTATACTTCCTAAAGGCGGCCCCTTGTTCTGAGTAAATTACCTCCCCTCGCAACTCCGAGTGAACCCCTTCGCGGATATCTCAGGAGCGCCACTACCTGGGGTGGGGAGGAGAGGGAGAGAGGAAGAGAGAGAGGGTGGAGAGAGAGAGAGAGAGAGAGAGAGAGAGAGAGAGAGAGAGAGAGAGAGAGAGAGAGAGAGAGAGAGAGAGAGAATGAATATGGATAGGAACGTGAATATGAATGTGAATATTGAGGATGGAGGATCCAGGCAGGAGTCCACCCGGTTGGAGTGGGAGGGCAAGCAGGGGACCGGAGGGGGGCGGGGAGAGGAGGCAGGTCCTCGCCGGTCGAGTTTTCTGATAGCCTCGGCCGCCTGTGCTCTTGGCCATTAATCCAGGATTGACAAGAATCCCTAATTAATTTAATTAAGCGTGGATTTTGCGTTGGTGTCACGACTTAGTAAAACACTGGGGATCTGGATAGACTTCTCGGAGGCGGGGCCAAGAGGAAACTGACAAGTGCATTGCCATCAGAGTCAGTAGGTATCTTCAGTGAGTACCCGACCTACAGCCTCGCTCTGGGTGGGCACCTATTGCTCCACCCTACACCGATGACCCCTGCTCTCTGGCCCGGCTTCGGACGCTCTATGGTTAATAGGCCCAGCAACCACTCCAGCATTTCGGTCCCACACCCCGTCCTCCTTGAGGCCGCAGCAGCTGCACAACGGGCATCCTGGCTTCACGTGCCTGCTGCGAGTGGGGCTTCCCGACGGCTCCTTGGACGCCTTCGCAGCCTTTCCAGCCCGCAGGCATCCTTACCGAGTGCCGGTCTCTGTAATTCACCCTACTATTCGCTCCTAGTAGTCAAAGCTGACTCCGGTGAAGACATTTCCCGCTGCACGGGGTTGGTCGATTTAACTTGTTTCCTGAACAGTCGTTCCCCTGCCAGAGCCGGTTTTAAGGTGTTTTCTTAGAGCCGGGTCAGGCCCAGTTCTATTTCGTTTCCTTTCCGAAGTCTCAGGGTTTTTTCCCCCCTTTCCTCACAACTCCCAGCACCCTGTCCTCAATTACTTAACATCCCGGGAAGCATTTTCTAATTTGAAAAAACAAAAGGATTGTCACTTTTGGAGTTCTTCTGAAAGCATTACCGACGTTGTTTGTCGCTCATCTAATTTTTATCTACCGTGGACTGTGGAATAAGACTTACTCTTCGGGGGGGGGGCAACTCTGTTCCTCTCTGATTTAAAATTTAAAAAATTATATCTTTTGACTCTTTTTATGAAAACTATTTTTTATATGAAGTAATGCGTCCTGTAATGTGTCCTGTAAGCAGGGCTGTGCGACTTTTTAGCTTTGCAAATACTTGCTTATGCGCACAAAGGAATATTTACATAAGGAAAGTTACTTTTTACTTGAATGTGTTAAACCCCTTTAAGTGCAGGTTTGGGGGCATTTTCAGTAGCTGAATATTAATGAGGCTTGTCTCATGTTAAAAGATAATGTTTTCGTTATCTTGGATCCAGTACTCAGTAAAAATGAAAGCAGTTACAGACCATTAATATGTATATCTTCTGCTTACTGGTTTGAACAACACACTTAGCTAATAATTTGAGAAGTTCCATCAAAACAACCTGAAACATTTGTAAAGAGAGCACAATTGTAAAGTGACACATAAGAGTTTCTCAAGTACGTGTAATTTAAGACTTATATAACTTCATGTAATACTAAATACTCCTCAGACTACATTGCCCAGTTCAGCAAGATGAAAATAAACCTTATTATAAATGTTGCTTTACTTTTTCTCTGACATTATCTTTCCTTCTGAAAACATTTTCTTTTCTGTTTTTAGGACAAAAGCTAACCTTTACACTATTAATAGCAATAGCATTTAGGTATTAATGAAGTCCACCAACACTTGCTTTCATTATTCTACAAAACTAAGTAACTTAACATTTCTAATTTATAGGAATTTAGGAACAATGTCACATTGATCATTCCTCTCCTATCTGCAACACTGTAATTCTAAACAGAGAGTAGAACCACAAAATTTTAGTCTTTTGTGAAACTGTTTTAAAGATTATTTAGCAGAATGATTAGTAATGGGATCTGCTAAGTTTGAGTGGTGTTCCAGTGGCTCTCAAACTGAATCTTGAAATATATATTCATAAACACCTCCCTATTAACTTCAGCTAAAAGCCTGATAAGACATCAGGAGACCCTCTAGATACTTTTTTTTTTTTTTTTTAATCCTTTTAAGCACAGGACTTCAACCCAAACTCACATGTCATCTTTCTAGCTAGAGGAAAAGATGACCACTTTAAAGGTAATCAGAGAAGACTCGAACATGACTGTTGTGTAATCTGAACCAACAGATTTCCCCTTTATTTCATCTTCTTGACTCATTTTAACTACAGGAATGGTAGATGAAGGGATGACAAAACTCCAGAGTCTGGCTACAGAGCCCTACTTTTGTAAAAGAAATTTAATTTAAAATTTTATTAGTGCATAATTGTATAGGTAAGTTTCTTTCTGAATTTTCCATATACTTTATAATATACATCTTATATTAGTCTCTTGCATCCTCCTACCCCCTTCACTTTCCACACTTCTAATAGTTTCTCTCTCGGGAAGTTCCAGTTTTAAGGAGTCCAAAGTTTGAAATCATATTAGTAAATACTGGGAAGTATGATGCTGTTTCACTAAATAGCAAATATTTTCCTGAGATAAGACATTTCAAAAACCAGTTTTGAAAAGTAAAATTATTGAGGTTAAAGCTCTGCTGACAGCCTATGGACAGATATAAAGGCTCAAGAAAAAAAAAAAAAAAAGAAAGAAAAAAAAAAAAAAAAATCCAAAACAACAAATCCGAAGAGTTCCCCAAGCTCTTGAATTATTTATTAAAAAAATTAGTGTTGCAGTTATATTTTAAAATGGTCCCTCAAAACTGGCTTGTTAAGGCACAACTATTTCCCAGGAATAGATCTATATTGGAGGTTATTTGCATCTCAAATATCTGTGGAAATTTGTACCTTGGTATCTAGCTAACAGTTGACCATAACTCGGGCTAATATTTTATATATCTCCTTAGCTTTGCTTCCTTATACTAAATGATGAAAAAAATAATAAAATGAAAATATGATATGAGCTACAGAAAATGCCGCATGTCTTTAATTTCGGTAATTGAAGTTATTATTATTTTTTTAATAAATTTACACATTTGACTCCTGTTCTAGAAAAAACTTGTCGCTTCAGGCAGATTTCTTCCCTGTATTCAACGGTTACTTTAATGTGAGAACTAATTTGCCTCCAATACGTGAATTCCTTCACCTTCATGGCAGGAAAAAAAAAAAAAAAAAATCCCACAAACCCACCGATTTTAATGTATTTTTGCAAGTAAATCATTACAATTTAATCACACGATACTACGCAGACACACTCCCATGATTTATTATTGTTGGGCGAATTTCCACCTCGCTCAACAGGAACTAACCAATTTTGCTCAGCGCGGATGTCTTAAACATAACTTCCCACGATGTAGATTTTTACTGATTATCTGTGACGATAATGGCGATTACTAAGGCAGTAACATCCCGTAGTCCCACCTTTATTGCTTTTTGGGAACAAGAAAATCCAATTATGCAAACACGCGAAACACAAACATTAAACAAAAAATTGGCGGCATGACAATCCACTAGCTCGGCATTCCTAATGGCCTAGCGGCCTGCATCGACGCACTCGGCAGCTCCGCTGGCGCTGCCTGGCGCTGGAACCAGGAAGGCGCTGAGCTTAAACTGAAGCAAGTTCTGAGGACGCCGGTGGCGCCGAGGTTTGAAGAGAGGGTTCGAGGTCTCCGCGTCCGGAGGTGCGAGCCCTTAGGCCGACCCAGGTGATGCCGGCGTCCAGAGCTTGGGGGCGGCGCCCGTGAAGGAGGCGCCGAGAGGCTGTGCTCGGCGCGAGGCGGCGTGGGGCCTGGCGCAGTCAGTGGCAAAGGTTGGGCCGTGGCCCGCGGCGTGCGAGCAGAGCCGTGCGCATGCGCCTCGCACCTGGGAGCGTCCCTGCCGGCTGTCCCTGAGCTCGGGGGCCGCGGGCGTGGGAGGTTGTGGGTGGTGAGCGGCGGCAGGCCTCAGGCTGGGCCTACAGTCTGGAGGTGGCCTGGAGAGTTAGCCCCCATTCCTCTGGTCCCGGGTCTCGATCGCTGTTTTTGGGGTTTTCTGTTTGTCCTATCTTAATAGCCTGGTTCACTCTCTCCTCCTCCAGGTAATTGGAGCGAGGGGGAGGCTGAGTCTGGCGTGCCTTCAGTATGTTCGGGCACCCACCTTCCCTCCTCTAAAGGCTTGTTGACGTGAGAGATGGTAACAAGGTCAAACAGACCTTCCTCTCTTGAAATATATCACTTTAAGCATTCTGTAAATGTCTTTTTGACTTCAGGGGTTTTGGTCATGTGACCAGGTGGCTTTCCCTTGAATTCTACAAAAGTTAAATGCATGTTGCCTTCCCTAGATTTTAGGTTATTATTAGTGTAATTTCTGAGTTGTATTTTAAA